AATTTCTAAATGTAGTCATAAAAGAGATGTTCGGGATGAATCGTCCACTCTGGCTTCGTTCAAACAAAAAGGATGTTTTAGATAATGTTGTAGTCAACCATATGACAGCCACACCATATGATAGCAAGCAATATCTATTTCTAGGTCTTTTTTAGGTCTTATTCCTGGGAATATATAATAGTTGACTATTAAAAGAATTGTTTCGAGTCAACATAGTGTTGCAGTCATCACGGCAAAGTACCTTGGGACAGGTTCTGTAACCATTGTTTTCCCCAGATATAACCAATTACACGTATGGTGCTGGCGGCTTCGCCTCAGGCTCTTGTCTTTAGGACTAGGTCGCACAAGATCTTCATTGCTCGGACAAACAACAGAAATGTCCAGTGAGGAGAATCCAATTGAGATTTCGTTTGAATTTGTGTTTAGAGCCCCAGAAAGGTTGCGATAAGCCGCGGTATATATGATTTCGATGCAACAGTTTTTGTTCATAGCATCCACATAACTCTTACTGGAAACTAGTAGCGAGCGTCAGCTCTGTTGCCTCGTAAGCACGTGGGTAGTACTCGCTACTCATTTTCAAGGAGTGGTTGGAAGAGCATAAGTCTTGGTAACTGAAAAGAAGTTCTTTCGTTTATTAATAACCACTTACATCTGTTAGTTAAAATTTGATATGAATAATTCAAGATATAAGTTAGGGAAACCGTGTCAAAGAAGAATTTCCAGTTCTTAAGCTCTGCAATTACCAAAGAACAAATAGTATTGAATCACAGGTGGTTAAAATGATGAACAGTGTATTTTAGAAAGGCACGGTCATCATAGTTTGGAGGAGTAAGTCTACCCACTTTAAGTTTCACGCTGTAAAACATCCTACTAGTCACAAAGAGAGAGTATGAAGATCGCCATCCTACTCAGAAGTCGATATAGACAACACTCGTCCTGAAGGCTCCGCCCCCTCGCCGCACGATTGGCCGCACGCGGTGGCGCGACGAGCCATCGATTCTGTTGACCGTTCCCAAACAACCGCCTGCAGCTCTGAACGAAAGTAATGAAGCACTCGTGTCCCTCGAGCAAGGAGGATCCACTGGACCACTCTAGCACGCGACAGGGACGAATGGAGACGTTGCTGGCGCCCGCTCGAGCAAATCGATGATCAACGGGACGACAGGTGATACAGGTGATTGAGAATTTATAGAAACACAAATGATTATCTCGTACCCGTGTCGCCTCCAGCGTTGCTGTTGGTTGCAGTGTGTCCTTGTGCGCCATCACCTGAATCTAGGGTCTACCTGCATATAGTAGCAAAAATTTCACCTTGAATAAATATTTGAGTAGCGGTTTTCGAGGAAGACAATTTTCTGGAATTGTCCTGGCGGCTTCCTGCTGCGACCATAAATCAACATGCATTGGCTTCGTAAAATCCTTGGAAATTGTCAGATGTTTGACTTTGTCACGGAAGGAACCTTTTTCAGTAATAGAATGATTGTATTCTGTGCCGTATTGTGGCGCGAAATGCCGCCAACATGTGACTTCGTGCCCTGTTTTATTGTGCAACTGTAAATGTGCAGTGTGTAAGGGACATCTGTCAACCGTGAGGCTAGGCAATTCAGCGTTTTGTGCTGTCTGGGAGCTCTCACACAAGCGCACTATTACAGAATCTCCGCTTTCTTTACCTCCTTCAAAAGGCTTAGTCCCAATACCACAAAGAACGTCTGCTTTTCCTTCTACACTCTCACCCCCTGGTTGACAGAAGCCTTGTAACCGTGTAAAGCTGGTGCCTCGCACATAACAGTCTTACCATCTCCTTGAGCTGTCGTCGAACCATCACCACCTTGACCTCCATTATTTGCCCCATCGGAATCTGTCGTTGAACCATCTTCACCTCCTTTGTTTGTCGTGGAACCATCGGAACCAGTGTCCGCAGCACCTTAACAGCAATATTTTCGGAGTGCTTGAAGTATGTGCTGCAGTCCAAGCAACAATTCGTCTCAATGAACGAAATTAGCCTTGTTGTCAGTGATGGCCTGCGATGGTGAATATTGCCTCCCTACCGGTGAATTTTATAGATACAAAAATATATTGCTGCAAGGTTTTATGTAAACAGTGAGTGTTGCGGTCTTGTAGCTGAACGTAATTACCAGTTTTGCTCAGCCCTCTCTCGCGCGCATTCAAAGTAGGCTTTGGTCAACTGAGCATCGTCGAGCTATTACATTAGGCAGCAGCATGGTTTTCAGTGGATTGACTTATTCAGTTTTTACGAGAGGTTATTGTAGGGCTTGCGTAAGAGAGTTATTTTCTGTGGTTTGTCATCACCCATAATTATCCATCATTTTTCGGAGACAACATTGCACAGCAGCCGAATAAGCTCTGGATAACTTATACAGGGTGTTCCATAAATATTGCATCATTTTTCTTTACTTGTAACTTCTTTCAAAATGGATGTATCTTCAAGAGGTTTTACAAAAATTTAGCAATACATTTACATATTGAAAGGAATGACATTCATTGGATATGCTCCCCTGTTGTTGTATGGCTCCCAATTGCTTCGAACGCAACTCTACTGTGGCCCGCATGGCATCCTGGGGTGTTCTCTTCGAAACTTTGCAGAGAAAAGGCTCCGGCTCATCCATGTGGATGCAATGTGCAGGCTCTGCCTCCTAACATAGCCCACATAGGATGGTCCAGCACGCTGAAATCAAGGGATAGGAGAGCCATTCGTTCGAGGATGTGAAATCGGAAAGAGTGCCTTAACAGCGCTCCTGAACAATTTTTGCCTCCTATGCAGAAGCTGGTTGACTTTGAAAAAGCATCATTCCTCTTGGAGAAGCTAGATACCTTAGTAACAATGGTGCACTGGAGCATTCGTTAGCTAGGTCTGTATCGAGTTTATTCGCTTTTCAACAGACAGTTGTGGTGAGCGACCGGTGATTGAGACCCTTGCCCAAATCGTGATAAAGTTTGGCTGCTGCTTGTGGCGAATATTCCTTTCACTCTCACTGACTTCCACAAGACCTCATGCGGGCATCCTCGGAGTTTGAAGATTGTAGCTCCGCTCCATGTGAGGAATTTTGTCGTCGATGAAAACGGTGCCCGCGTCGCCATTTTCGGCCCTCGACACCAGCTCTTTGAACTTTTTGTCTCTGCTGTGCTCCTCCCGTTGGATTGAGCAGTGGTGCTTATGCAACTTATAATGGACTGTGAGCAGTTGTTATCTGACCACTCTCTACATGGCTGTGTTTAGAAACTCCAGCGTTCTGGTCACCTTTCTCGAGCCAACCCGGGTATTGCAGTCGTTTCGCTTCTTCATGCTTTTCCTGAGATCCAAGATGTCAGAACTTGTGGGGCGGCCGCAACAAAGACTACTTTATTGGTCTTCTCTTAGTGCACGGTAGGCCGCGGAGCGGTTGAAAATCCAAAGAAGCGCGATGCTCATCACCGGATGTCCGACCTAGCTGTGTGAGAGGTTAGGCACTCTGTTGAAGTTTAGGCGTACCATGAGCCTTATCACCTATTATCATCCTCAATCCCCCTCCCCTTCCCCCCCCCTCCTCACATACATGGTCTCATCCCACCACCTACATCACATCTAAGGATAGCGCTTAACGCTGCTGGAGCGCGTGCTATGAATTTCTTGCCACTTGCATTCTAGCGCTCTTATCAGATCTTATCAGCTATTATCACCTTCTGTCCCCCGCCAAATATGTTGTCCCACCCCTTTATCATAACTTAGAATCAACTCCTGATGAATGCTGGTCGCGCGCTATGTATTTCGTGACACACACACACGGACAAACAGACTCAGCGCTTTTCATGTACGGTAGGGATAGGTATGGATAGGGAAGGGTTAGGGATTACTACTCGTATAAGTCGCTTTGCTACTTTTTCGGTGTTGTTTTGCCGCCTCGAGCGCTAGGTTCATAGTTTGCTTCATTTTTCCGCAATGATTAGATTGACCCCTGCAAACAAGACAGAAATGCGTCCTCTACATTAAAAATTACTCACTCGCTCTCTGAATTCTTCACATAGTACTATCTAAACTGCAGAATATTCTCTCTATCAAGTTCGAAATAGTGGGAGCTGGCAAGCGCATGAGACCTGTTGTTTAAGGTGTTTTTCAGAACGGAACCAGTTTTAGCTCGGTAACGAAGCAGACGGTGGCGGAACTCAAGGGAATATTTTGGCTTGGGAAACGAGGAGCGGGCAAATGTCGTTGGAGCTAATGCGGCTTCTAGCCCCGATTCTTTTTCGAGACTTTTAAGATTGCTATAGTGCCAAGCAATTGTGATGCATTCTAAAATATGTGTACTCAGCGCTCAATGACTAGCGAGCTTGAGAAAGAGAATCAGTAGCGGGCTAGAGCGATTGGGCTTGATCAGACTATGGGTAACGCGGAGAAGACCTATCTTACGCTCAGACAATAAGTTGTTAGGAAATCATCTATTCCAGGTCGGTCTATAATTTTTGAGACACTTTACATGTGTTATTGAAAAATCTTTGCCAGCCAGCGTTCAGCGCGTTTGTCACGCATCTTCAAGCTGCAAAGTGGGCACGGCATGGACGCTCGTCCGCTTGTCTACCGTGGGCAGGGATGGAATAGGTGAGCGTGCCTAATGCCGGAGCGTGCCTTCAAAGAGTCCCCATCTCTCCGGTCTTAAGGTATCTTGACGACGTTCTACAAAATGTTTGCTTGCTTGGAAGCTTGCTGTAGTTGCTTATAGTTCTTTAATCACAGGTCTGAGCCATCCTTCTTGGGAACACAATCATATGCAGTGCGTTTCATAATTATAAGGTCACCTAATATTTTGCATTTCCGGAACAAGCAGCCGACGGGAATTTTTCTACTATCACCAATGATTCCTCACTATGAATAACCCCTGTATCGCAATTTTGGTGGGAGCAGCTTTTCTTCGAACTTTTTTGTAATTATTTTTCGATTTTTGCACCGTTTCATAATATAAGGTCACCCTGAGAAAAAGAACAATTACCTAAGATTAATGACAGATAAAAAAGACATAATAATGTAGGTTTCCTCCTTACATTAAGGTGCAACATCAAATATCCTCCATGGCGTACTGGAATTGAGATTCCGAGTCAGGTGAACATCGATTCACATGCGTGCTTCAAGGGTACATGTTTCAGCTCTTTTGTAGTTTCTAAGTGGTGTTTATCCGCATGATACTCCATGACGATGATGTTTCTGAGATATTCTGTCGAAAAGCGACCCGAACTACAGGATAATCTTTTTAGATCGTCTGGATTTGGGGAGTGCTGTAGCTCCTGGTTGACTGAATAACATAAGTACCTGCAATGTTCTGTGAGAATAAGTAGTGTAGAGCACGTCTTTGGCTCGAGAAAGTAACCAAACTCCTTTGAAAGGCTCTACGGTTCTCTTTGGAGCCCACTATGCAGGTCATGGAAAGAATTTCCGGCACAACATCATTACAGTAAGCGCCATCACCTTTCACATTTCCTTCACTAGAATCGCGAGCGCTGAAATGAGCCGGCCACTTTGGCGAGTCACTTCAAAAGCGTTCAATTCACGGAACTGTTTGTGTAGACCACCTTTATCCGAAAAATACCAAGTTAACCGAAGTTGTCTCGTTTTGTGGTGCGATTGCGCCGCAGGCCCAAATTTGTCCAATCTCTCTAAGTTCAACTTCACGGGTTGTTATTCTTCGCAATGGCCAATAAGCCTTTGCGCCATCTTTGTCGCTTTCCTGACAATGTCGCTCCTTCTTTCCACCGCTCAACAGTTCTTGGTTTCCGAGATAGAAACATTAAATTACGAACGAGTGTAATTTCTAGTGGAACTACTGTAGGGGGCAGCCCTTATAATTTCTCTCTGATCATTGATAGGGACCTTTTGTGAATATACAGAGCTTGAACAGAGTGCGCCAAAATTACGGAGACAGCGATTTCGAGTCGCCTAGAATGAACACGCCACAATTCCAGGAAGCCAAAAATGCAGTAACGTTCACTGTTCAATAATGAATCGTAAACATCTGCCAAATCTCAGAAATTCCTTCGTTGGCACTTATACGGGCCTTGAGAAGCAGTGAGGAACCATCGGCGGTGGCACGCAAGGTAGTGCGTAGAATCCGTTCTACGTATTCTGAAGCAATTCTTCAAAATAATCCCCAAAAATGTAAAGTTCCATGCAATATTCAGCTTGCAGAATCCATTCTACAGTTTGAAGTTGAAGTTCAGTGATCTAGAAATGGTGGCAGAATCACTCAGCCATCGTAACAATCATACATATTGGTGGTCAAATAAGATAATTATGAGCAGGTCAACAAAACAAAATCAGAATGAGCGCAGCAGTAAAAGCATCTTTGAATAGTGGTTCAAATAGTGCGCGGAAGTGCTGTATCCGTAAATTGGCGCACCCTGTAAAATATCTGAAGACATAGGAATTCATCAAATACCTATGAATAGAGCGAGGGATTTTCTGAACTGCTTGGCAATGGCTCAAGAACCGAGTCGAGCACTACGAAATGAATAAATCCGGTTTTTTTTTTCAAGAAAGACGAATACCAAACATTAGAGAAATTTAGTTTTTTTGAATGTTTTCTAACAAACGTTCGTTTTTATTATGAGATTTGTAATTTCACACGAAGTATTTTCATTTTCTCAGGGTGACCTTATATTATGAAAACGGTACAAAAACCAAAAAATAAATTATACAAAAGTTAGAAGAAAAGTCGCTCTTGCGAAAAATGGGTTACAGGGGTTTACCTCATAGTGAAGAATCAGTGGGTCATATTAGAAAAATTAGCAGTCGTCCGCTTGTTCCCGAAGTACAAAATATTAGGGTGACCTTATAACGCACTGTAGAGGTCAACCAGTCTGTTCCAGACCACTTAGCATACTGTTACGCCGTTCTTTGCAAAATTATTGGCAAGTTCTGAAGTTTTCTTCCCTAATTGATGTGAAAGCTCAATCTTAGTCAACGCAAACAAGCACGGTGAGGAGAGAGAAGAAAAAGCCGACGAAAGCCGAAAAAGCCGTTGGGAAGTAATCAGCAGGCTTGTCATAAAATTTTTTAAATACTATGCCAGTGAGCTAAATGCTACACTCTAAAACTTTATATACATACATACATATGCCTTATAGAGCATGTCTATGAACTCTGCTAGACGTGGATATTAGGAGTTTCCCAATGATTGTTAGAAGCATTTTGTTTCACTACCTATGGTGCCAATCACGATCACATCGAATGACTGACAACTTAAAAAAATAAACAAATAATAGAGTGAAGTTAATTAAATGAGTAAATGAATATAAATAAGCAAATAACCAACGAAAAAATATGTAAATGAGCAACAAATAAACAAAAAATTGATGCCGCCAACATGAGACCTCGTGCCCTGACCTGACGCGACATACGTATTTTTACATATAACAGGATTTGTGCATGTGCAATTGTGAAACTGTGTAAGACTAGTGATTAGAACATTAGAGTCTCACCATCTCCTTTGGTTGTTGTCGAACCATCGGAATCACCTTGGCCTCCATTGTCTGCTGAACCATCGGAAGCTGTTGCCGCAGTATCTGTCGTCGAACCATCGGAATCAGTTTCTGCAGTACCTGAACAATAATTTGGTCGGAGCGCCCCAATACATGCTCCGGTCTGAGCAACCATTCGACTCATTGAGCATGAATATACTGTAACCCTTTATGGTCTTTGACGGAATATTGTTATATTTCTAGTATGACCTTTCGCTTCTAATGATGTTATTCACGGAACGAACCACCGAATTCTCCAACCATGTTCCTGGGTCAGGTAACGAATGTGAAGAACGACCTTAGCTCCGGAGCTAAACAGCAGGAAAAGAGCGGCATTGAGAGAAAAAGTTTGAGGGACCAGTGAAAAAGAGGACCATCCGTGCTTACTCCTCCTTCCTGCCCTAACCTACGCCTCAGAGACTTGGACTCTGCGCAGGCAGGACGAGCATGCGGTCAGCGTTATCCAACGCGCTGTCGAGAGGACGATGCTAGGAGTAACCCTATACACGCAAGTGCAGAGGGGAATCCGGAGTGCCGAACTACGCCAACGATCGAAGATCAGGGACGCTGCCGTTTTCGCCAAGGAATCGAAGATAAGGTGGGCCGGACACGTCATGCGATTTTGCGATGACCGTTGGACCAGAGCGGTTACCGACTGGATCCCTCGGGACGTCAAACGAACACCTGGACGACCGCCGGCCCGATGGTCAGACTTCTTCACGAAAGCTCTGAACGAAAGGAATGAAGGACTTCGTGTCCCTCGAGCGAGGAGGATCCACTGGACCACTCTAGCACGCGACAGGGACGAATGGAGACGTTGCTGGCGCCCGCTCGAGCAATTCGATGATCAACGGGACGACAGGTGATACAGGTGATCTTTCGCTTTATTAATTGACGCTTTTAGTTGCCGTTCGCAAAGCAATTGTCACGCTGGAATATTAGCGGTCCATTCGATGGGCAGGGTTCGAATACCACAATCACCTTAACCAGCAGACTGCTGGACAAGAATCTAACATCAGCACGCAGCCGATAGGCTACCGTAACCCAGGCTCTGTCAAATAACATGCCAGCCTGCCGCATGTTTCGCACTGAGCTCGACGTCCTCTTCTGGTTACGTAATGAGCAACAGCATTTTCTTCGGTTATCTTCTACCAGTTTGCTCCGACCGCTATCGCGCGCATCACACGGTAGGCTTCAGCGAAACTGGAGGACCTGAGGAACATCTGCTGATCTACTCCACAAAGCACCTCACTATTGGATATGTTAGTCGAATGACCTGAGGTTGGAGGATCTCCACTTTCATTGAAGTCCATCATGGATGCGCGTGAATGCGAAGCTGAGCTGGTATATTTATCACAACTCTGTAAACACCTAGCATTTTTCTTGAATCCTGACAATTTAGCGGTGAATAGGGTTTTGCTGTTAGCCTCAAAATGAAAATGAAATATGCTCCTTATAATAAGTGAGCATCTGCTTATCTTTGCTTTACATTCACACTCTTCGAAATCCTGAAGTTGAGCGGTTTAATGAGTTCTAGCCCTCTTGGTATTAGATTAGGAGTGAAATTTATCATTCGCCAAAAAGCTGCTCAAGTTAAAGTGGTTATATCGAAACATGTGTCCGCCTCACTTCACTTTTAAGTAAGAACAAATGTCAACGTGGGCTGCGCAACTAAATGGCGACTTCTGATCAAAGGCGCCCTGACAGCCCTTACAATTGCGATCATTCTCCTTTACCGACAAATGATTCCCCCTTCCATCATACGTAAAACTTGTGAGTGAAAACTCTCCAGTGTCGGGGCTGCGTAACGGAATTGACGACTTTTGCGTTCTGACGCGCCTTATCAGCCCTTATCAGTTGCTATCACTTTCAATCACCCACCAACAATGTCCCCGTCCCACCCCACATAACACTTGTAAGTATGGACGCTCTAGTACCAAACGACAAAACGAAATTGGCGATGCTCGCTTTCTAGCCCCCTTATCGAGCGTTATCAGCTTATTTCTTGTGGCAGCGAAAATGCAAAATCGAATCTCCGGGAAGTGGACTCGAACCACATAGCCCCTGTTGCCGCACCAACTCGAGCCTTTCATGCCAGACACTTGACTACCATTCCGCTGCGAATGGGAGGATACCAACGACGCTGAAATCTCAACTCTTTCACAACCTTTGACCATACATCAATTTTAAGCGAAGTTCGCGTTGTTTTCGATATTTTCTTCATCAGTACCTTTCAAAATGAGGTGGTCTTCTCCACAAGTTCGAAATTTCACTCCAAGGCTGTGAGAACCACCCATTTTGACCAATTTTTGTCCTTCAGGGTGCCGCTCAGCAAAAATGAAACAGGGTGTTACAGTCCACATTCGCGTTCCTACAGCATGCTGGAAACGTATTGAAAAAGCGCCCCACACCCTGAACGACCTCCCTCGTCAGTATCCTTTGCGTGCAGTTGAAACGTGCAGCTTTGATCACGACGACGTCTTTTCCGCGCCAACCTATCCGGAACAAGGAAACAGGTTCAGTCTCTTGAAGCAGGATTCTCCGGTGAGATAGCAGACAACTGTGACAATAGTGATTGTAAACGAGTCAATAAATGATTAATTCCTCTGCTCTCAAGGAATCATGCGTTACTTATCGTTAGGTAAAAGTGAGTGGTGTTGGCTGCAGGCTCTCTACCAATCGTAAAATCCAAGACCGTCTTCAATCGGAAACTTGATCACAGAACTAGCTCGAAACCCTTGGAATTCTCTTTATGCCACTCTGTCCAATTCTACTCCTGCAATAAATTTTCAACATTTGACACCACAACAAGAAGATCCGAAATTATGAATCAACGGTACCCTCAAAGAATTCATGAGTCCTGCTCATTCAAAGACAAGCTTTGTGTTAAAATGAGTGGGCAGGGGTGCAGTTTTTGGGGGCGAGCAGTGACCTGAAGACGAAAAGGAAATTAAAAGAGGCGTCGCTTCCACAAACAAATCACCCCTAATCAAGGCACACATTGAGTCGCAATCTAACACTGCCGCGCTCTTACTGCACGTCAACGTCACACCGAGGGCGAAAGGTGGAGCCTTGTAAACCAGGGTTGTGGATTGCGGGTGGGGCAAGCTTTCAGCTTGTTTGTCGCGCGCGTGCAAGCCGCAAAAGCACCACGACATCAATGCTTCGTCCGCGTGTCTATCCGCGATCAAGGAGATGGATCAGGTGAGCTTGCCTAATCCCGAAGCGTGCCTTCAATCACAGCGGCAGCGCTAAGAATATTGTTGAAGAAGGTGTGATGAACCCTGGACTCTCTCCCTTTTACCTACTAGATTCCTCACAGTCGCCTGCTCTAGTTTTTCGATGGTGTAGGTTCGCCAAAGCTGGAGTTGGGACGAACCTTACCATCAGAAACGTTTGGCTCGGTTGGTCTAATTTAGAATCAACTCTTCTCATGCTTTAGAGAATTATTCTGGTGCTCTACAGAGCTACAAGTGAGAAAATTGTTCGTACCTGCCCCTCCTGAATCGTCAGCTCCTGTAGAGTCGGAGTCACCTGTAAGGCACTTCTTTTTTCGTAAACAACGAATTTCAACAATAGGTGACGGGAGTGTGCAGTTCTTAGTAATTAGTATTTAACTAGTAGTTAGCTTGCTAGAGATGTTCTAAGCTGTTAAGCGATATGTTTCCCTAATATGTACTTTTTCTTGAAGGACACACGGCTTATTAAGTGACAGGATAATGGATAAAGGATAAGAGCATTTGCCGTTGATCAATCATTTTCTGGAATGTGATGCGGCAGGCATTCTACTTCCATTTGTACATTCGTAGTGTTCGATTTACAGAACAAAAACTCTTAAAAAACAAAAATTTGTTTTAGAATTTTTTTTGTAAAATGTGGCCTATACAATGACTTGCGGGGCCAGCCGATGTACAAGTCAGTGTTTTTATCCTCCCAGACAAGTCTGGTACCAATTAACCGACCCCGGAGGGATGGAAGGCTTGGTTGGCCCGGGCGACTCACGACCCAGGATTTGATCCCCGGACCGCTCGCGTGGTAAGCGTGCCACTTGCCACTACACCACTTCCGCCTTTTATCCTTCAAAGGCAGCGGTTACGAGAAGGAGGAATCGCATCGGGGAAGCATATGCACAACACGAAACATTTACTTGGCTGCCATGAAAGAAATGCTCTACTCTACAGGGTTGACAAAAACTATGAGGACAAAGACATTATTTCGACAAAAATGCATAGTGGCATGGTGGAACTAGCGAAATTCAGAAATGTGTTCGTCACCTCTATCTCGGAGCAATTCCAGAATAGGATTGAGATCTGCCACTACTGCGTTTACACGAGCCTTCAAATGAAGGGGAATGGCGCGTGCGGTGGCACGCAACTCAGGCGCAACAAAATGTTTCCAGGTTTTCTGCTCTGCCTTCTTCAGGGATCAAGTTTTTTGGAGTTTCCATTTGCGCTTGCCTCCAGGGTGTACCATGCAGAAATCTAGAGAAATCAGGTAGACGGTTCCTAAGTAACAACTCTTCGAATGCAATGAACTCGAGGAATTGCTTTCTGCAGAATTTTCGCTAGATGATTGAGTGTTAAATCCTATAAAGTCACGAGTCAAATATTTGGGTGGTTCTCTATCCAAGTGAAGCGGAACACAACTGGGTTTTATATCAATTTTTTTTTCATTTTGAGGTACGAAAGTTGCAGAGAAGAGGGCGAACTTCTGCTTTCAGCAATTGTCCTGGTGCTAAATGAAGCCTTCAAATCTCCGCATTTCCACCTGCGGTGGTGGTTCCGAATTTATCAATGCGTTCAACCGTTGCCCAAACGAGCTTTTCTTCCGCTACATGTCACGTGCCAGAACCCTAGTGAGTTCAATTTGAGGATTGACTCAAAGTGAAGTAGTTATTTCACTAATTTAGGAACTTATGTGATTTAGTTCCAATAGGAAGAAGACATTGTACCCTGCTTAGTGCGCAAAAGCAGATTGAAATAAAGAATCGAAAAACAGGTGGATATGATACGCGCACACGCTGTGCTAACATTTTTGATCCACCCTTTATTACTATCTTAACATAATATCGCCTGATAACCCAAACTCGCGAATCGCAAAGTAGAAATGCCACCTATTTTTTTATTTAATTATTTGTTGGTCAGAATGCGAAGAAGGTATGGCACATCACTATCAGGCAATGGCACCCGAATGACTTCAAAGTTTCAAAGGCAGAATTCACGATGAAAAGTTAGCTCATTGGGAAATAAGGGTAGAGGTGGTCAGTGGAGCAGGGATGAAGAAGAAACCATTTGAAACGGCCCGAAACCCGAGAAATGGGACCCCTTCCTTGCCCGTTGATTTGCGCATTGATGCGACTCTCATCGCTGTGCCCTCTTCAACACTACGCTCTCTCTGCTATCTAATCACTCGCCACGTATAGACCTGCGGCGAGTGATTAGAGTCGGTGGGCGTACCCCGCCAACCGCGCCAAGAGTGAGCCATGCTAGATCGCCGAGGTCAAATCTTTCGCTGCCAATTGCGCACCCTCAGAGGTCCGCCTGTCTCCCAACTATGCAATTTTCCCTTTCTTTGACCTTCGCTCTATCGTGAACACATTCACGCCGATGGCCGCCCATATGGGCTGCCAACAACATGTGCTCCTGGGACGATGGCAGCCCATATGGGCTGCCAGCTGATAATCGCTTGCCAGGCGCTAGGAATGGACAGATAGGTGGGTAAATCTCGTAATCGAGTTAAAATGCTTTAAATTCCTTTACGGGGAAAGTGAATAAATGCTCTCTTTTCGTAACCACTATTCGTCGTTTTGATCGAAATCCTACTGTTATATGTTTAGATAATCTTTACGCATTGGACATTGCAGAAATTATTTTGTGACATTCATGTTTTTGTTCATTTACAAAACAAAATCTGCGGTTGTGTGGTTAGGCGGCGGCGCCCACAAAATCGCGTCCGTCCCACGCGACCGAAAGTGGAAAAGGGGCACCGTCGTGAATGTGTTAAGGGGGCTACTGGAACTCCATAAGACCTCATATGTATGTATGTGTTGAGCTAATTCGAGAAACAGTGTGCAGTGTGTT